CGGCCTCCTCCAGTGGTCCCCAGCATTACAGATACCAGTCTTCAGCCAATTCGATTCACTCCATGTTATGTCAAGAAACGATTGGAGACACTGGATACTGCAAAGGCTACCGGCTCTGATAACATTCCGGCAATAGTACTGAAGACTTGTGCTCCAGAACTTGCCGCTCCCCTAGCCAAGCTGTTCCAGTACATTTACAACACTGATATCTACCCGACAATGTGGAAAATTGCCGAGTTATGTCCTGTACATAAAAAGCAGAATCAATCCAACCCAGCCAATTACCGCCCCATCAGTCCCCTCTCGATCATCAGTAAAGTGATGGAAGGTGTCACTAACAGTGCTATCAAGCAGCACCTGCTCAGAAATAATCTGCTCAGTGACCCAAACCCAGTTTGGGTTCCATCAGGGTCACTCAGCTCCTAACCTCAATACAGCCTTGGTTCAAACATGGACAAAAGAGCTGAATTCCAGAGGTGAGGTAAGAATGACAGCCCTTGCTATCAAGGCTGCATTCGACTGAGTGTGAATCAGGGGCAAACTCTTCACTGTTTGGAGTCATACCTGACACATAGGAAGATGGTCGTAGTTGTTGGAGATCAGTCATCTCAGCTCCAGGACATCTCTGCAGGAGTTCCTCAGGGTAGTGTCCTAGGCCCAACCATCTTCAGCTGCTTCATCAATGACCTTTCCACCATCATAAAGTCAGAAATGGGGATGTTTGTTGATGATCGCACAATGTTCAGCACCATTCGCAGCTCCTCAGACACTGTGTTCAAATGCAACAAGATCTGGGCAATATCTAGTCTTGGGCTGATGAAAGGCAAGTAACATTTACGCTACACAAATGACAGGCAATGACCATCTCCAATTACAGACAATCTAGTCACTGTCCCTTGATATTCAATGGTGTTACCATTGCTGAATCCCCCACTATCAACATCCTGGAGGTTACCATTGACGACAAACTCGGCTGAACTCACCATATAAATACAGCAGCTACAAGATTGGGTCAGAGACTAGGAATACTGCGGTGAGTAACTCACCTCCTGATTCTCCAAAGCCTGTCCACCATCTACAAGGCACAAGTCAACACTGTGATGGAATGCTCCCCATTTGCCTGGATGATGCTGGAGGGATGTTGCTGTGACTGAATGTCTGTTTGCAGTGGGTTTCTGCAGGGTTCAGACTTGATTTCATGTTGTTTGTGGTCTACATTAACGACTTGGAATTAAATGGAGGAAATTTGAGCAAGAAATTTGCAGATGACATGGGAATCAGTAGGTGGTAAATAGCGAGGAGGCTGGCAATAAAGAACTGGGCAGAGCAGTGACAAATGGAATTCGACCCAGACACATTAGGGGCAATACACTTGGGTGGCTTGACAAGGCGAGGGATTACACTGTGAATGGTAGGGTCCTGGGAATTGCTGAAGATCTGATGGAGCTTGGTGCGTATCCCTGGAGATACAGGGCAGGTAGATAACATGGTTAAAAAGACACAGAGGATACTTAAATAAAACAAAGAAATGTGGATGCTGAAGATCTGAAACAAAAACAGAAATTGTTGGTGGAGATAACAAGGTGTAGAGCTGGATGAACACAGCAGTCCAAGCAGCATCATAGGAGCAGAAAGGCTGACGTTTCGGGCCTAGACCCTTCATCAG